TCCTGGGCCTTGTCCGCTAATTCCTGGGCCTTGTCCGCTAAGACAATAGGGTTTAAATTACTATATGAAAGAGAGGTTTAGGGTTCAGGGTTTAGGGTTTAGGGTTTAGGGTCTAGGGTTTAGGGTAGGGTATAGGGTTAAGGGTCTAGGTTCAGGGTCTAGGGCTTGGGGTGTGGGGTTTGATTTAGGGTAGGGCTTGTTGAAAAGGAGGGAACGGACAAGGAGATGGGCTCGTGGATTTGAGGGGTTGCGATTTTGAGGTTCGGGGCTCAGAGGTCTGACAGTTTAGGTGTTGAAGGTTTAGGAGTTATAGATTTTAGGGGTTATGTAGAGTTTAGGGTTTAGGGCTTTGTGGTTGGTAGTTTCGGGGGGTCAGGGTCTAAGATTTGGGTTCCAAACCCTAAACCCTAGACTGCTCGCGCTTTGTGGCGGGGCCATCTGGTGGCCCCCACGCCCGTCCGTACCCCGCCCCAAACCATGGCATGGAACGCGGTCTAGGGTTGAGGGTTTAGGGTCTAGAGCAAAAAGAACCCATTGTAGACTACTGTCTTTTTCCATGTTAGTTTGGTAAAAGGGAACCCTAAACCTGATATACCCCCAAACCTGAGTGAAACCGGAAACCTTAAACATTTGACAAAGTGAGTGGATGAAGGCTATGGAGGCCGTGCTTGTACCCTACGTACCCAGAAGTAACATGAAAGCCCACTTGGCCCGCTGTTAGAGGGGCAGAGGTCTATGTGGGCCCCTTCTGGGGTTTATATAGGATTTGGAGTCCATAGGGTTTAGGATTTCAGGCTAGGGTTTAGGATCCAGGTTTTCAGGATCTAGGCTGTGCTTTCCTTGTCCACTGAGGCTACAGTATGCAGGTGTTTGAATGTTTGCCCCGAATTTTCGTTTTGTCGGTCAGTTGCGCATTGCTTGTAAAACATTTAGGTCTTGAGATCGAGTTATTTTGAAAGACATTTAAGAAAGGGGAGCCAGTGACTGCTTTAGCAACACGAGACCCTGGGGCCACGAAACAAGGGGAGGACAAAGGTCTTCTGCAAGGATTTGCTGTATTTGCAGGGGTTTTACCAGGGATGTGTTGAATCAGCTACATTAGTCTCCGGCTCAGTGGCCCTGACCTGGTATATGAACGTGTGATGTGTTTATTGTTGTTAGTACTCGCCATGCTGAAGATTCGGTTCATTCACCCTTACATGTCGAACGTACACCATAATTTTTTGCAAGCCAACCCCGCCAAGCTCTCGCAAGTTTATGTTTTTCCTTTTTCAGTTCGTTTAGGGGTTTAGGGGTTTAGGGTTTAGGGTTTTGTCTGGCAAAAGGTGCACTGATGGTTTCTTTCGCCACCCTGCAAGTATGCAAGATCCAGCCCCCCAACCAAAATGGACATGAATCCAGAGCAAGTTTGCCCAGACCTAAACCCCAAACCCAACAGCCCAGACCCAAAACTCAGACCCTACACCTCAAGCCCAATCAGAAACTGTACACCTCAAGCCCTACACCAGAAAAAAAACTCTCAAAACACGAAACCCGATGCCCGAACAACAAAAAGACCTAAACCCATAATCCATGCCACAAACCTGACACTGCGGGTTTGGGGTTAATGCTTTAGGGTTAGTAGTAGGGAACATGGGAATAGAGCCCACAACTTAAATCAAGTTCCTTAACGGCAACCCAGATAAACTAAGGAAACCCTAGACCCTATCAACCCTAAACCCTGAACCTCAAACCCTAATCAACAGGTGCAGTGCAGGGACATGGCGGGCCTCGGCATCGACACGCTCTCCCCGGATGCTGGAGCCAGCGAAGGCGGAGACCTAGGATTCAGGGTTTATGGGCTTTGTGGGGTTCATGGGGTTTAGGGTTTATGGGGTTTATGGGGTTTTGGGTTTAGGGCATCTCTGGTGGGGTTTTGGTTCAGGATTGTGGGGTTTGGGGGTTCCGTTTCAGGGATTATGCGGAATTTATACCTCAACACCAAAAGTATGTAAAATAATAGGCCTAAGCCCTTAAAAGCAGCCAAAAAAGGCTACATCTCTACATACTTTTAGGGGTCCAGGTAGGGTCCAGGTCCTGAGTTTGGAGTTGACTTTTGCTCTATACAATTAGTATTTATCTGGGCTTGAGGGTTTAGGGCTTATAGTGCTCCCTATACAATTTGTCTTTATCTGGCTTGAGGGTTTAGGATTGAGGCTTTGGGGTTTATAGTGCATAGGGCTTAGGGGTTTTCAGGTTTAAGGCTTGCTGCCAAGCATCTACGGACCCAAATGGATTGACATAGAGATACTAAGGGTTAAGAAGTGAGGGTTTACACCAAAAGTCGGCCTGAAGAAAGCCCCTCACGAAGCTCTGGGTCCAACCCAGAGCTCCCCCCCAACCCCCTGTGCGGATCTTCACGGTGCAGTAGGGTTTAGAGTTTCTGGTTTAGGGCTTTAGGCTTTAGGGTCGCGACTTGGCAACTGGCAATACTGGGGGCATAGCCCTAAGTTGAACCGGGCGAACCTCTTCCCTAAATTCTTAATTGCGTGATTATCTCAAGTATAGACAGTTGCAGTTGCTACGTCCAATGAACGCTGCGGATCAGAATAGCCAAACCCTAAAACGTGAACCCTAAAAGCTAAACTGCACAAAATCCCCAAAGATACTCCTTTACGGTTCAGGGTTTCCTTTGACTTGCTACATACCAACAACCAGAAGGTCTATCACCCACAAGGCAGCTTCATCTCAGGGTTTAGGGTTTTAGGGTTTAGGGTTTTAGGGTTTAGGGTTTAGGGTGAATTTCCTGCCACACCCTAGAAGCCCGGTTACCCATATATTGGGTTCCTGTCCTTAAGGCCCTATAATATAGTTTTATACTATCTGTAACCTAAGGACCTACTATATGGGTACCTGGGCTTCTAGGGACACCTAATATCACATATTCCCCGTAAGGGACCTTGTAAGTTGGGGACATGTTTACGTAATATTCATGAAGGAGATCTTCGAAGTTGGCCAGGCTCTACAGAATCGACATATACCTTAGAGTTTCAGGCAACTTCAACCCCAACCCCTACTGGGGGCCACAACTGTGACGCTCAAAACTTCAAACGCCAAATCCTGTGCCGCCTCAACCCTCCAAACCCCAACCCATAAACCGTAAACCCCAAAACCTAAACCCTGAACCCAAGCACTCTCGACCCCAACGCCCATGCAAGCAAAGGCTTCAAAACTCACCATGCGGTCTTGGGAGCTGATCGGCAGCCTGACCGGTTTAGGGTTTCGGGTTTAGGGTTTGGGGTGTAGTTGCAGGGCCAGGTCATTCTGAGTCCCGTGGGTATACTATACACTCCCCCAACATACTCTAGTAGTTTCGATGTTCTTTTCCATTATCCCTATATATCCCCTTTGTAACCCTATGCATTTTTTAGTAGTTTCCATTTTCTTTTCCATTATTAGCATATTGGGGGGTGAGGGGCGGGATAGAATCATCCCGGAGCTTTAACTTTAGCCACCTGTATAGGGATCATGAAAAATAAAATGGAAACTATTATATAGGGTTTTATAGGGGATATATAGGGTGTGTGTATACATATATATATATATATGTAGGGGATATATAGGGATAATGGAAAATAGAATGGAAACTACTAGATAATGTATTGGAGTTATATAGGGATGATGGAAAAGAAAATGGAAACTACCAGATACTATATTGGGGTTATATAAAGGGATAATGGACGGGAACATGGAAGCCACGATTTTTTGTTTAGTTCTAGGTACCCCAGTGTTACCCTTTTTCCCTTTGTATTTTCGGTGTCTCCCTTAGTAAAGCTGTTCATTAGGAAAAAGAGTATCCTTATCGTTTAGGGGTTACTGGGGAAGCTAGAATTGTAGTCACCCATAGGCAGTTTAGCTTCACGAACAGGATATTCTACGTATTCCCCGTTTCGATACCACACATACAGGTAGCCGAGTAATTGCTTTCATAGCTCCCTTTCTGCCTTATTTGTCAGTTTTGGCTGTCCTTTGAAGATAGACATCACTGGGTTATTCATACAGTTCAGAGTAGCTTGGCGATAGTTTGGGTGGTCGTGGCCCTGCCAATGCCAGCGTCATGCTCCGTCTGTGATGTGACATGTTTCGCTCCCTGGGTAAGCAACCGTGGAACGTTATTGAGAGGGCAGTAGTCTATGGAACATGCTTGTGGCCTTGTAAAGTGGGGTTACCGGAAATTATGGGTTCCTTTCCGGGGGTCACGATACAAAGAAGTATGATAGCATGTTGGGGTTTGTTTTGAGGCCTCTTCTGTATGGAAACTGCCAATCCCTGCTTGAGGTACATCGTAGAGAACCTGAATCTGGAGGGCCTCCCCGCACGTGGCGCTACCGTCACTGTTGCTCCAACGGCATTGCGCGGGGCACCCGAGGCACAAAAGGGCAGGGGGGCGAAGGGCTGCACGTAGGAGGAGAGGGCAAGATAGGGCTTAGGTTCCCCCTTACACTAACAGTTATCACAATAATGTTGCACCTTTCAACTCTATACCCCCCCTAACAGTAGGGGGTCCGGATGAAATAGAAATCAGGCGTCCTCAATAAGGCTCCCATGGTACTGAGGCCCAGGCGGCCTTGGGGATGACTTAAAAAAAAAACGATGGTCTGGATTCGGTCCTGTATCTGAAGGGCCCAAAAATCGAAACACATTTTTAGGGTTTAGGGTTTAGGATTTAGGGTCACATTATTCAAAGTCTTCCCAACAATGGCCTGAAATTGAATAGGAGGCGGCGATTACTCCAGGTTGCTTGTAGGGGCTGAGGGAATATAATCCCTACATAAGCCCTATAGGATTATATATTCCCTTATTCCCTAGCAAGAATGAGTGAGCCTTTGGGTACCCTAAACCCCAAATCCTCAAACCCAAACCCTAAACCCAAAACACTGCTTCGTTGCAGGCTGCAAGTCCTCAGCGCAGGTAGATCCGCCAAGAACCCCACCCGAATGACCCTCTAAGAAACCTCTGAGTTACCTTCAGATTTAGATGGATTTAGGGTTTTTGGTATAGGGGTTTATATGTACTATAGCCTCAACTCCTTAAAGGTGTTATATAGGGGACCACTATAGGGGTTATTATGAAGGCGTATGCTAGGAATTTCGACTATAGTTTATATGCGCTTTTGAAGTTCCTTCTGAGCATCCTTCTCAGCGGCCTTGTCCTATTGGGGAAATCTACCTTATCAGTCCTCTGCAGCAGAAAGTTTCTTTCGCTCGTATTGGCCGGGGAGATAAGACGCAAATCTGCATAGAGCACGCAGATGTTGTACCGGGATTGCACCCCGTTCTGGGCTTATTCCATGATGTTATCTGCAACTCTGAATGAATGTTTGCAAAAGCTTGGCACGCCTATTAGGGAGTCCTCTATTCATGGAAACCTCCCTATCCCTCTAAACCACCTGCGTCCATATCAGTTTCAAGCTTCTTTCCTTTCGGTCTCCATCATTGAGGTAGTGTCTGTATGTGACCCTATAATCCGTGATCCCAAAGCCCAGAACCCTGAGCAGATGTGGACATGCCAGGCACCGGCACGCGTCTTCGCGACTTTGCCCTGCCTCTGAGGGGTCCGGCAGCTAGGAAAGAGACTGCAGCGCTCTGAAAAATCCCATGGCAGCTTTTTAACAGTATCCTTAACCTTTCAGAAAGGTGGTTTCCGACGAGATTAGGGAGCTTTGGGGCTATAATGCTCTGGGGGCTCACGGGTGGATGGGTTTTGGGGGTTTCGGGATTCAAGGTTCATGGAATGCAGTTACCATCTAGAGTTGGGTTCCGACCCTTGTTAAAACACTTCGACCCGGCCTTATGCAGCTTCGGCCATTTGCAAGCTGGGTCATGCCCTCCAAGTCCGATTAGCCTGCCTAAAACGACCCTAAAGAAGTGCTTTGCAAGTGCCTAGGGGCAGGTAGTGGGTTCTTCAGCACATGTTCGTGCGCGTTTCTTGGAACCGGGACTGCATTTTCGGGGAGTGCACACAGGCATTTCTTTTTCTGACGAATACACATGGGTCTCGGATGAAGAATCTATTGGATCTTATAAGGGCGTAGGAAAGCCCATGCAAAAAAAGTGTTGTTCCGAAATAGCATCCCGACGCAGTTGCATTAGCACGCTCCACCAAACAAATGCACAGCGCTGGCGATCACGTTGTGGAAATCAAGCCAGAAGTTTCTCAAAGCTATCCCTGTAAAGTAGAAGCCTGAATATTGACCAACATTATTACTTCACAACATGTACATAGTAAACCTTAAACCCTTAACCCTAGACTGTAGTAGAATGTATCTCAAGCCTGGTTTTCCCAAATATTTCGCCCCTACAGGCTCCCAATCCCCTAAACCCTAAACCCCTAAACCCTAAACCCCTAGCCCTAAACCGCCTGGCTGAACCCAAAGGATCTGTACATGAAGAGCTCTTGCACCTGCACTTCAGGGATTCACACAGGTAGGTTTGAAAGTGTTCTCAAGTTTTTGTTACCCTTAATGTGGTTTAGGAATTAGGCTTGGGTTTAATCCCTATGTAAACCTTATAAAGCCATCAAAACTGGATTTTCATAGGGCCCCAAACTTACCCTAATTAAGGGTTTAGGGTTACCAGAACAAAAGGCTTCGATGGCCGCACTGATAGCAAACTTCATGAGCTATTGTGAGGAAGGTTGATGTTAAAATTCCTGAGTGACCCTAAGTGGTAGTTCCAATCAGTGGGAAGGGGGAGCCAATCTAGACCCCTGATATACCCTAACCCCTAAACCCTAAACGATGTATTGCAGTCATTATTCTAGGGCCCTATCCCATGTTGTCGGCAACCTCCAAGCAGGTTATACCTAGGGAATTCTGGTAGTCTAGTTGACTATGACATGCGAGGTTGTCAGCATCAAGGAGTACATGTCTGGTGGTTTAGGGGTTTGGGTTTAGGCGTTTGAGGTTATGGTTTAGGGGTTGGGGGTTTAGAGCTGTAAGGGATAATGGTGAGATAATATTACGGTCCTTTTCTATTCCTAGTATACCACTATTGCAGGGGCGGGCGTCCACCTAAAGAATAGTTCTTAACACTGGAAGGTTAGGAGGCTTGAACATGGGGTTCTTGATGGCAGTTTATTAGCCCTCATGTCTTCCCGGATAAGCTTTCATGTCCATGAGCTACATAGGTAACATTGACGGTAGCTCCCAAGACCTCATGGCAATGTTGAACATGACAGGCAGCTGTGGGGCCGTTCCAGTAGTGATTGGGCTTGTTCGGGGACAAGTAGCCTAATATTGGAGTACTACACTTTGATACTTCTTTGGTTCCTGGGTTCCTAATATAACAACTTATACCTAAAAAGTCTATACTTGTTTTTTCTGGGGTGTACTCCAAACCAGGGCTAAGTTATCAGTTTGGCAAAGTCGAATCTATCTAGATGAGGCAAAGCCGACAATAATTAATTAGAGGGTTTTGGTAGCCCCGTCTCTTGGGTATAATTTAGGTGGCATAGGGATAGGAGTTTAGGGGTTAGGGCTTGGGATTTGGGGTTTAGGGATTAGGGTTGGGTACCCCCAGCGGCTCTCTGGGGTTGGGGAAACCAACATCCCCTTATTCCACAGTCGGCTGAAGGGAAGCTGCTGCAGAGTCCAGGCTCAAATGACTAGTATTTTAATTTGGGATACATGGTCCAATATGTGGTGAGATTATATCCTGCTTGTTGGTAAGTAGCTTCTGATATGAAGAATCTGTTCTGACATGGTTCAACCACAAACCTAAATGCTTCTCAAGTGATTCATTAATGCCGCTTCTTGCCGCGAACGCAGTCAGTTGCTCATGCTACCAGTAGCGGCATACACTGCACGAAGCACTATCACGATGCTGAAAAGAATTGTGAACTGCAACGCAGAGAGACTGTCACCATGACTGTCTCTTTCGATTTAGGCCATATGGAGGTTTCCCAAAATTAGGGGTACCTTATTGGGGGTCCCTATAATGAGGACTATAGTATATTGGGGTCTATATTGGGGTACCCTAATTTTGGGAAACTACCATATAGAGTTTGGGCTGCAGGGTTGAAGCTGTAGGGGGGGATTGGGGATCAAGGTTTCAGCTTCAGCGATTCATTTTTCGGCGGGTCGAGTCTTTAGGCTTTATGGCTTGTAGGGTTCGGGGATTCGGGATGCGCGCTGGCCAAGTGCTGGCAGCGAACAGCAATGTCGAGCCCGATGACAAGGAGGTTCGCAACAGGGTTTGCATGCTGAAGTCCTGCTTCCCACCCCCCTACAGACTGGACCCCCATAAGACCTTCTCAGAGAGTATACAACTTTTTCATCCCTCGAAGATTATGACTACGGTCGTTACCAGAAGGACCCATACTGGTCAGAACCTCCCCCCAAAGCAGGGCCCTTGAGTGAGGGTGTAGTATGATTCTAGGCATAATACAGGTCCAGAGTGTGACAGCAAAGCACAGAGGGGCATGGGGAGTTATTGCACCGGGGTTTAGGGATGCGTAGGGATTGACAGAATCCCCTCCCCTAATTGGTAGGGTTGATTGTTTAGGGCGTGGGCTTTCGGCTTGAAGCCCCGAACCGCTGTCGCCATATACGCTTCCAGCATAGTACCATGACATGAGGGACATATTTATTGTTTGGGGTGGGGACGGGCGGGTGGGAGGTTTTATTCTTATGGGCCGGTGGCTAGGGCTCTACGGAACTTAGGTGTACCCTAGACCCTGAAGACCTTTAGTTTTAGGATTTCGTACAAGGATGTATGCTACCTAAAGCTGAAGGTTGCTGGGGCTTAAGACAGGGCATGGGGTCTGCAGGTATGTAGAGGCTCCGAGGCTGCTAGAACATATCTCGTTTTGGCCCATGCAAGCCAAAGCAGGAGCATGATTGCAGGAACATTTCCAACCAACTTGGGTAGTGACAGTCTTGCATCAGTGGTTTCTCAAAGTTGCGGCTTCTTTTTTGGAGTGTTCTTCCATTATTTGGATGGCGGAATCCCTAAACCCTAAGCCCCAAACCCTAAACCCTAAATTATAGACCCTAAACCCCACACCCTAAACCCCTAAACCCTAAGCCCTGCTTGAAAAAGTCTAGGCGCTGGCGCTGCCCATTCCGCCGCCACCACGGCCCCGGCCTAGACGAGGCCCTGCGAGACTTGAGGGTTCAAGGTTACCCCAGGGTCCAAGTACCCAATAATTAGGTCCCTTTAAAGGGGGATACATAGGGCTATATAGGGTTTAGGGATTTAGGGTTTAGGGTTAGGGGTCCGAGTACCCAATAATTAGGTACTTGGGTTTTGGGTAATAGTAAGAATCGTATAGGGTTTGGGTAAGTATATGATTATTAGGTACTTTGACCCTTAGGGTTAGGACGCATAGAAGCTTTTTGGGAGGATGGCTACGGTTTAGGGTTTAGGGCTTAGCCGTGTCCCATGAACTCTCAACGGTGTCCAAGGTTTGGGTTTAAGGGCCTACGCTGGGTCCAGGGGATTTCTTGCAAGTCCACCGTTCTGTTCGTGGATTTGTGTCACTGAAAAAACAGAAGGGCCCCTTTTGAACGGATTCTTGTATACTGGACGCACAGTTGCGCCCACTCGCCGTAACTCCCATACAGCCCGCACTCCTAGGTACTGGGACTGTAAACCGATGACCTCGGCTTGAACTCTTCCCCGCATTCACAAACAGTAAACCCTCAACCCTAAACTCCCTGCTAAAAAAACAGTACATAAACCCTAAACCCAATATTCCCAAATTCCTGCTAAGAACCAGTAAGCTTTCTTTCAATCATCCGGAGGCCTGCCAGCAACGGGAAGCTCCTTTACAGTCGCCCGGCGCCTCCTGATATCCTCCTTTCTCCCTTAAGATATAGGGTTTAGGGTTTAGGGTCCGAACTCGTAGTATCCCGCTTAATAGCCCCTAAAGTAGTCTCCTATATACTCCCCTATATAACCCTCTTTAAGGAGTTTAGACCCTAAGCACTAAACCCTATATAACCCCATACATAGCCTTATTTAAGGAGTTTAGACTAACTGCGATCCTCGCCTGATACCAGCTATCAGCTATCCGCGAGGTCCGGTGCTTGTACGAGAATAGCCTTTCATGTAGAGGCCCGGATAACTACCAACACTGTTCCCTCAACAATCCTTGGAGAGTTCTAGCAGCATGTACCCGAAACCCCTGTACTAACCAGCAACTAGTACTTTAGGCTTTTTACAAGGTGCGGCCGCACCAGTTCAGGGTTGAGGGTTTAGGGTTCATGGGCCGCCATCAGCTGTCTCTTGCGATCAGGTGTTTTGCTCACCAGCGTTTGTTTCAATCCTCTTGTAACTCAACGATGTTGGCGCAACTATACAGCAGCTGCAGAGGATTTTGTTCAGTCAGGAATTTGTTCCAGTCGGCGTTGAGAATTCATCCAAGATGTTCTCAAGCTTCCCCTTTCTCCTCCCGTCATCGACGTAACCATCCTTCTCAAATCTATGATGTTCTCATCGTACTGCAGAACCTTGAAAATAGCATTACCAAGGCAGTTCCTTTGTTGAGGGTGTGGCTTAGGGCTCAACGTTCCCCCCCGCCCCCCCCACCGTCATTCGATGAGGAGTAGTAAAGGATGTTATACAGGGGGGGCTATATAGGGTTGACATCATAGGGGCTAGTCAGGGGGATGCCGGGAATTTGAGCTAGGTGGTCCCTATAATAAGGACTGTAGTTTGGGTCTATATATTTGGGTTCAGTGAAACTATCATATACGCCTTACACCCGTGGTGGGGGCTTTGGGTTTAGGGAGCCCAATTACCAAATTTCTGGTTGTAGGCTTGCATAAGAGCTCAACGTGTAGTTTCTAATGGGGCTTGTAGCTATTGCCCCGAGTTTTAGGACTTCCCAGACCCCTGGGAGGATCTAAAATTAGATCCCCTATATAGACCCATTATAACCCCTATACAATCCTTATATAATTTCCCATATGGTTCCAGGGGATCTTGTTTTTAGATCCCTTTGGAGGTCTGGGTTAGGAGTTATGGTGAGCAGCTTGTGGCTTTGAGAGCGCGCGGGTACGGCCTGACTTACGGGCAGTTCGTCAGGAATGGAGAGGGATCCTATCGTCATCCTCATATGTACTAAAGTCATACTGGAGTAGTATAAGGGTTATTAAGGAGGTTACTAGGAGTTTAGACTAGGGCTCATATGCTGCCCAAGTAATGATCCCTATGCCCCCTACCCCTTCCTCATTCGCTACTAACCACTTGGACCTTTGGCTGTAGTCTCCTTCAGAATTATGTTTACCTTCTATTATAAACAGAACCCTAAGGACTTATTTACACACATTTTCGGTCTAGGTCTAAAGGGGTTTCAATCTGGGCTAGATGCCAGAGGCTAGCGGAGTGCTTCCGCTGCTGCCCTTTCCGAGTGCTGGCGCCGCACGGGGCGCAGCCTTTCTGGGAGAGGTCCTTGCGCCGAAAAGGGTGTAGGGTTATGGCTTCGGATTTAGGGTTTATGTGGAGGGTTCTCAAAGATGTTATGCTCTTTTTGCTTCCCTCTTAGGCTATGGCCCCAGACCCTAAACCTTAAACCCTAAACCCCTAATAACTGGGGCGCATCAAGAGGGATCTTTGTCAACCCTTCATTCGGCTTCCCAAAAAACAGGAGCCCCTCTTCCGAAGTCAATATCGTAAGCATTCTCTGTGGGTTTAGGGTTTAGGGTTTCCATTCTTGAGCAACAGCCCTGCTCTCTTGAACAGACGGTTTTGGTACCAGCACTGATACGCCTACACCTATTCTTGATGACAGCTTCTGTCTTTCTATGACCATTATGATCAGTACTACTATTAATCTTGCTATTATTATTGCTACTATTTGTTTATTGCTATTCATTACTCTTACTTTTCTTTTGTTATTACGACTACAGTACTTATGAAAGTGCAATAAATGGAGGCACCAGACTTCAGGACCGGCTTTTTCCACACTTCCCATATCGGGGGTAGAGGCACGTCAGGGTGTATTTTGGAGGTCATGCTCCGTAACCCTCAAGTGTACCCTTACTTTTGAGAACCTAAACCCTAAACCCTAAACCCTAAACCCCCTTATAACTCCTAACCTCCAAAGGCTGAACACCCTTGCAGAGGTACCCGGAAAGTTGCTCTCGCCCCCAAAGTTTGGTGGCGCCAGCGCAAGCTTCCATGGCCTTAGCTGGGATGAGCACAAGCTATGCGACTGGCTCAGATTGTTTTTAGGGTTTAGGGTTTAGGGTTTAGGGTTTAGGTGCGACTGGCTCAGATTGTTGTTTCAGGGCTTCTTTAAGATTGCGCGAGGGGCTTGTTGTTTCTTCTGGCACTGAGAGTAGCATCCACACACTAATTTCAAGTGTCTCACATTTTCACTGTACAAAGCCAGTGCGGTATTCGTATTATTTCTATGAAGTTCGATCCAAGCTGTGGTTGCTAGTCCATGATTTGCCATGGCGCCTTCTGCCTCTTGCCGGATGTCTGATAGGTCTCCTTGTGATAAGAAGTACTACTTTCGATCTTCTGGGAGTGTTATTGAACATCTCATGATGGTTTGGTCCAGGGTGTAGGGTTTAAGTCTATACTCTAGATCCTAGAAGGAATCCTAGATTCGCGTCGGACTCTGTGTGAATTTCTCTAGAGATCCCCTGAGAAGGACATCTAAATTCTTTCTAGCATTCCCCTAAACCCCAAACCCTCATGAACCTTAAGCCCTAAATCTTAGGGTCCCTAAGGCCCGTGCCACACTCTCGAAAAAGAAGCTACATGACCCTAAGTACCTTGTACCTGAGAATGCACGGGGTTTAGGGTTTATGGGGCTGATGGGGGGTATGATATAGGGGAGTATAGGGAATATAGCGATAAAGGAAAAGACAAGGGAAACTACTATTTGGGGTTTAAGGTTCTAGGGGTTCTATTAGCAGAGTGGCCTCTTGCAGGGATTTTGGTGGCAACAATAGACCTTCCTAAGATGGTGGCATGGTCCCTTGAAAGGAGTTGCTTGTGTACGTCAGCACATGCAAGCCTCGCTCGGCATGTACAGGGCAGGCACCAAGAAAATGTATGCATGAGAGGGGATCAGGAAAAGGGTTACAGGGTTTAGGGTTTAGTTTACAGTAGTTGGGTATGAGGATCAGAACAAGGATTACAGTATTTGGGTTTATTATTTACATTACAAACATAAAGCTGCAAAGATTATAAGAGAATACCGTAATGTAGAATCTTGAAAAGGTTGCCAATAGCCAAGAATCAACTGCAACAGAACATAGAAGATGAAGCGAACATGGGGATTATGTAGAGGGTCTCAGGGATGAATAATTGCCAAGACTATTCCCCCCAAACCCTTATGTGACAAGAGGTTTACTTAGTAGAGCAAAGCCGAAACCCCTACAATTTTTCTGGCCGCTAGAATATTATTCCCTTGTAACCCCTCTATAGCTATAGTTCTCGCCCACAAACCAAAACCTTATTCTAATTAAGAAGGCCGCCTGTACTGTACTTGGAGGGTTTTGGAGTTAAGTGCGGAGTTAAGATTAAGAGTTTAGAGTGGGGGAGCTAGGTTGTACAGGGTTCAGATCCACCCTAAGCCCTAAACTTCCTAAACCCCAAACCCTAATTTTGCAAGCCTGTAACAGTAGCCCTGCGACCCTTGGCCAACTCCAGAGTCCTTCGTCATAGCTTTGGAAAACCGAACTTTTCAAAACATAATCCCGATATACTACCAGAAACAAGCTTCTGCATCCCTACCAAAAAACCATACAATCCATAGGCTATGCCTACATGCCGGAAAACTTATCTATGAGCTTGGTTCTTAGAGTCCCACCCCATCATTTGACAGATAACCTACCTGTACATTTGAAGGTTGTGCTGCACCCCGTGCTTTGTTTTTTGATGGCCAGACCGCAATGCAAGGTTGAAAGGTTGTTGTCTTGGCACGCGAAAGACGCGCGAAAGGTCTAGGGTTTAGGGTTTAGGGCTGAGGGTTTAGGGTGTAGGATCTTGACATTAGATTGGCGTGGACGAAAACAAGACTACTCAAATCAGAGTTTGAGTGCTCGCGCGAAACACCACGCAAGCTGCGCAGGTGCGGCGGTTGATGGGTTTTCGCGAAAAGCACTTCGCAGCCCCAGATGCAAGTTTGTCAACATTGTGCTCCCTTGTTGGGGTATAATGAGGCCTGTAGTAGAGCCGACAGGAAGAGTACCAAAAAAAATGGACTTTCAGGCCATTCTCCAGATATCCCCCAAATACATATGCTAGTATGAGTGTGGGATTATTCAGAAATAGCGAGTGCCAACTATATCCTTCTTGGACGAGGTAGGAGAACATCCTACATATTTGCGCTTTAGCAAATGTCTCACAATCAATGTCAATAGCTGAGACATGTGTTTCACGGCATGCCAAGTTCTTTACAATGATTGCCAGACATGCAGACACCTAAACGCTCAACCCCTAAACCCCGACACCCTTCACAGACACCTCCCCCGATGTCTGGAACCACCATCAAAGGCAGTCAGCAGAAATACTACGAGGACTGCATCGAGTGCTGCAAAGAAAAGATGCCCACGCACAAGGCCAAGTGTGGCTCTGCTTGCAGGAGTTATGACATTATCAGCCCTTCTGATCGAGAGTCAAGTAGAAAAGGCGGGGAAATGATATCTTGACTGGGATGACACAGGGTTTTATATTGTTGACATTCGGGTTCAGAGTCCAAGGTTTTGCTGCTCCCCCACAGCCGCTCTTCATGCTAGTGCTTGCTTAAAGTTGAGGGCTAAGGGTTTGGTGCTTACCCGGCTGCGTTGCCTCTGCGCGTGCTCTTTTGCGCTTCCTCCTTGCGCACCTGCATCTGCATAGTTTAGATTGCCCTTAAGAAAATGGGCCCTGCCCTTCCAAATTAACACCTTACAGTTATCATATGACTGAAAAAGTGTCTTAATGTTGCGGCTTAGGTGACCAACATCCTCCGAACACTAAACCCTAAACCCCAAACCGCATACCCTAAACCCTAAACCCTATCACGTTGTTGTGTCATACCCCCTTCTTGTTCACAAGTAGACGTTTGCAAGGCCATCCTGTCATCCTGTACCTTGTACTCCATGATGCGTTCCAATTACTCACAAGCGTTGTATAGTTAGCTTTTGGTTAGCTAGGAATGAAGGAATGGATCCTTATAGTAGTCCCTTTATAACCCATTATAGTAGTTTCCATTTTCTTTTCCGTTCAAAACCCTAGTAGTTTCCATTTTCTTTTCCATTCCTTCATTCCCAGCTACCGAAAGGCCAGATAATGGGTTCTTGGAGAGGGTCTTCCGCAAAGACTCTGAGAATTGAGTATCTCTGACTTATGCCTCTTGCGCTTGGAACCCTAAACCCAAAATCTGGGGCCCAACAAAGCTCAACCATGCTGCAACTCTGTGCGCTGGGATCTCACTTGTGTAGGGGGCATTGGAAGGAAAATGGTGAATATTAACAGCTTCAGCAAATCTAGACATGCCCGACGGGCTCAGGGTTTACTACATGTTTGGTCCTTCCAAAGATTGATCCGCATTGGAGTGGAGGTTGCTTTCGAGATGTTGCGAATTTGACAGCAGGACCTTCACTTTAGGGACTGCTAAAACTGAAGCCCACTCTTTGCGGAGCCTTCATGTACCTGCTCATCCATTCCTCGAAACTTACACTGATGCCTTGGGTTGGGTGGATCCCTCTACTATCGCTTGTATAATCCCATTATACCCCCATAATGCTAAGGTAACGGTGACTATATCCCCTTTCCTACTATTCCTTGGCTGTGCCGTCTCTAAGGCATGCTCAAGTTCTGCACGCCGCTGCTTGCGCAGCCTAAGCCTGAGGATCTGCAATGACGGAACGCTCGATTCGTGCTGCTCGCAGACAAAAGAGACGTGCCATTTGCCGAGCGTCGTTTCTCAAACCTAATGTAGGCCTATGATTAATGAACCACCTCTCTTTCAGGGCCTTAATATGAGGATCCCTACTATCACTCCCATTAAGGGGACGGGGTTTATTAATCAGGGGTCTACATTATAGACACTAAGCCCGGGGCGACGTATTGCTATTGCAGGCCCCTCAGTTGACTGCAGCTTTTCACGCTCTGCAAGCGCGGAAGAATCCCGACAAAATTCTCATGGTCTGAGGCAGGCGGCTGCTTCGCGCTGCACACCTTCACCCAGATGAGTGACGCTCAGGTCTTTGGGGTTAAGCCCAGACCCGTAATTGATAAACCCCCTCCCCTTAATAGGGATTATAATAGAAATCCGAATACTAAGTCACTTGAAAGCAGAGAGTTTATAAATCATGGGTCTACATAAGGGCTCAGGGTCCCCAACTGGCTGATCTTTAATCTGAGCCTGGACAGCTTAAGACTTAACAGCTAGCAACCGTTTCCTTTCCTCGGACCCTACGTGTCTCGGTCAGCATCTGATGGAGAGATCGCTTCAGCATCTCCTGACGCTGGAACCGACACTGGATCCAAGTTTGAAACTCCCTACTGCTCATACTAAATGAGCCAAGTCTAAACTCCTTAAAGGGGGCCATATAGGGGATTATATAGGGGCCTACTATTGGGGTTGTTAAGGGGGATACTAGGAGTTTAGACAGTGGCTCAAATGCCAATGAGGGACATAAAGCCGTAATTTGCAATAGTAGCCCAATGTGGAACGAGAGCGTCTCACCTGCAAGGACGGGCACGAAAGAAAAGGCACCTGCGCAGAGAAGTAGCTTCCTTCATGCCGTTGATCATGCTAAATAACTCCTGCACGACCTAACATTTCAAAATACCAGCATACCCAAAGTGTGAGCTATTTAAGGCCATGCAGGACTTGAAGTACCTAGTCTATGGGGTAGTTTCTTAATAGAGGGTCACCCCCAACATAGATTCCCAAATATTATAGTCCTCACTATTATTGGTAATCCCAAAAGGGTACCCCTAATTTTGGAAAACTCCCTACACCCTAAACCCTAATTTGGAAAACTCCCATGTCGGAAGCTTTGTGTCAGATCTGTGGACAGCAGGACCGGGTGCTTATCATTGACAACGTGCAGGACAATGTGCAGAGGTAGTCTCAGTAGTGTTGATGGACAAAATCCTGCATGACTTTGGGTACCCAAGACCTAGGAAATTATGGTATATTCCTCACTATGGGCGACGCAGGATGTAGTCCATCAACAGCAGGCTTTTCAGGAAACGGC